GAGCAACGAATGAATGATTTATTTAGATTTTTTTGTTTGATTACATTAAATAGCAGAAAGTAAAAGAGGCCAAATGGAGGAGGCTCATTCTTTGTTCTCGTGATATGCTCTGTTAAATTGTTTTCTCACCAGTGAAGCATCGTTTTTTCACCTACAAAGTCCGTCATGTAAATAGCAAACACACCATAAAGCCCGATCATACACCCAGCGCAAGACAGCATTTATAAATAAATAATCAAATTCTAAAGCTCCAACATTAATAAAGATAAATATGTCCTGTAGTATATGTATGCTTCATGCAAATGTATTAACTAATGGAACCCTATTTTAAAGTCATAACTAAAAATTGCCAGAATATTAGATTGCATGGTATTAGCTGACCACTGCACTTATATGTATATAAGCAAAAAAAAATAAATCCAAATATATTGTCTCATACATCTGTCCGACATCTGTCAACCACTGCTTATATGTATAACTTCTGGGTGGTCTTGCGTCAGCTGAGTAACTTCATTTTGGAATGCTTACGACTATTTAAGGCTAAATGCAGATAATTGTCATGCCAGTAAAAACATTAACATCAACTTATGAAACCATATTGTTTCCCTGTTAAGTGATGAATATAAAAGTTTTAAATATATAGGCAGTGGTAGACTAAATATTGCTGTAGAAAAAACTAATAACAGAAATAGTTTTTGTTGTTTGGCAGGGTGACATGATGGCTCAGTGGTCAGTGTGTAATTCAATACAATTCATGAATTAATTCATTTTCTTTTCGGCTTAGTCCCTTTATTAATCTGGGGTCGCCACAGCGGAATGAACCGCCAACTTATTCAGCACATGTTTTACCCATCGGATGCCCTTTCAGCCGCAAACCATCTCTGGGAAACATCCGCACACACTCATTCACACTCATACACTACGGACAATTTAGCTTTACCCAGTTCACCTGTACCGCATGTCTTTGTGCTGGGGGGGAACCAGAGCACCCGGAGGAAACCCACGCGAACGCGGAGAGAACATGCAAACTCCACACAGAATGCCAACTGATCCAGCCGAGGCTCGAACCAGCGAACCAGCGACCTTCTTACTGTGAAGTGACAGCACTACCTACTGCGCCACTGCGTCACCTCAATCCAATTCAATTCATCTTTATTTCTATAGCGCTTTCACAATGTAGATTGTGTCAAAGCAGCTTCACATAGAAGTTTTAGTACATTTAAACTGTGTCAGTCCAGTACACATTAGCTGGTGATCAAAAAAGGTTTATATCAAAACTTGGTTATATTCTCTGTATTGAGCATTAACTTCCAGTTAGGAGCATTGAGCATTAGTTATCAAACATCACAGTTTTTGCTGATGATAGAACTGACGTTATGTCACACACAACTTGCTCTAAACCTCAAAAATTCCGTTAAATGCACAAAAAAACTTCATCCCACTGCCTTTTCATAGTTTGAAAGTTGAGCTCAAGGACAGCGGGAAATAATCCCCATCCATCCGCTGGTCTTAAAAGTATTAAAACCAAACCTGGACACCTGGAAACTAAATAAGAGCATTAAAATCATTTGCAGGGCAGGCGCACAGCTGAGGAGGATATGAGTTTATCCAGATGAGGGCTTTAGTGCAGAGGGGAACCCGGCGGTTGAATCAGCAGAAGGTCAGCCAGTTCCTCCAGCTTCACCAAACCATCCGTGACCCTCTATATTAAAATCAGAGGTCATTGTGTGTGTGTGTGTGTGTGTGTTTAAGAGACTCACTTCCTGGAGTAAGCTTGAGTGGCATGTAGGGCATGTATGACGGAAATGAGACATCCTTAGACATGTTTTACTTTTCGATTCCCCATAGTTGATGTCTCGGTTACCAGGAAAAAACACATCCACGAGGTAAGCAGGACTGAGATGAGTCTTGTGATGCGTGCAGCGTGTGATAAGCTGACAGTAATATCCTGAATGACGAATGAGTTTGTCTGCGCTCTCAGTGGAATTCAAGAGTTCTCACATTAATTCCAGGCTAAAGTCCAAAATTAACTTTCTACCTCACCTGCTGGTGGTGGGTGTCTTGAGGAAATAAGCCATGTCAGATACATTAAGTCATTTAGATTTTGGTTAATATTTATTTTTATAGCACATTTCATACACAATGCTAATTCAAAGTGCAGTCACATTTCATTTTGATGGTCCGTTTGTTGAATTTAAGTTGTTTTGCAACTAATTCTCACTAGATTATAAGTAGACTGCTAGGTTGGGGTTAGGGTTGGAGTTAGGGTTAGAGTTAGTATAAGTTGACTTGTACTTGCAAAGTTTCTTATATTCAGATAATTGTCTGTTGAAGGATCAGCAGATGTTAATCAGACAGTCTACTAATACTCAAATGGAGCCTTTCTGCACATCTTTTTTTTCCACATAGTCTGTGCATGCATCTTCTGCATAGCGGTCCTCAGAGCAGGCTTTACCAACATAAGAGAGCAAAGTGACGATGCGCTGTCCTTCAGCTTGCATTAAAAAAGGATTAGTTTACTGGGAAGTCTGATGTATGGGAGTTTTTTTTGTAAGCATCATAGATGCAAAAAAAATAATAATAAATAGATAAAAAATTTTTTTTTACTTTTGCATGCTGTGAAGTATGAGAAGGAGATAATAGACTGATTTCAGGCAACCGCCATTTTTAAAAGCGAAATCGAGACTGCAGTGGGAAGAAACCCGGAAGTATCGTTGGGAGTTACATAGGAATGTTGTGTAACTCGCTATATATCTTATCAGTGTTGAAAAAGTGGCACAAATGTATAATTTCACCACCTTCGGAGTGACCCGAAGGTCCGATCTGAATAAATGGTGAAAATAAAAAGGGATATCAGAGCTCATTTTCAGCTAAGTTAAGGAAAATGGGACTAGTTAGCTAACGTTTTCTTTCCCAAACACTCATTTTAGATGCCATTAATCAAACTCAAGTTAATGAACAGATTCTTTCACTATATTAGACTCGTCACGATACTAAATTAAAAGAAAAAACGTCAATTTCCCGCTAACATTTAAGGCACTGTTGATGGCATTTTTAAAACAGTGCTGACTTGTCATTGTGTTCACATGCTTAACAGAAACGATTGTGATTGGCCGAGTAGGTCATCAGTTCACCCTCTGCTGTTTACCGAGTGCAAACACAGATTGTGGAGAGATTTTGGAAACCAGATCTAAATTTAGCGGTAATGGTCGGGTAGAAAATTCTAAGAGGGCAACGCGTGAACAAATGCTGAATATACAGCGATCGAGTGCGGAATAAAACCTCAAAGGAGTGGGTGGGAGCAGGACTAAAAAATGTGTCCTGCGCAGACCTTTACTGCGCGATTCAAGTCTGGCAAAAAAAATAATAAAAATGGTTCCAGAAAGCAAGTAAAACAAAAGGCAAAAAAATAAAAAAACAAGTGAATAACAGGGTGGGAACTTGTTTAGATCTGATAAATTGGTGAAAATCAGGCGGGCGCAAGGGCTTTTCTTTTCTGTAATACTTTTGAAAACACTGTCTGTTGGGTTTAAAGAAGAGGGGTAATCGGGTCTATACGTGCTATTAAAACACAAATGGTTGGGTGTAGGGAAGGGGGTGGGTGGAGGAATTGATTGGTCAGTCAGTCAGTCGAAAGGAGCCTCTGGTGGATTTATATGAGAAAAGCAGGCGCGAATGGCACACAAATTTGAGGTCTGAAAAAGCATACCTTGCGGCCTCTGGTGGATTAGCAAAAACAAAACTGCAAAAAAACGTAGCTCCTGGGGCATATTTTGTAATCTCCAGAAATGTATATAGAGGTACGTATCAGTAATGAGCCTGGTTGGGTATCATACCTGCCAACACTCCCGTTTTTCCCGGGAGTCTCCTGTATTTCAGACCCATCTCCCGCCTCTCCCACGTATTGTTGTCTCCCGGAAAACTCCCGGAATTCCACCATTCCACCATCACCCCCCCGGCTGCTCAGCTTTTTGGTACAGTCCCCTTGTGCGCCGAACCCAACACGCAACTATCTTCATACCCGCTTCATACCCCCGGATCTCCTGGATTTTATGATCCAAATGTTGGATACTGTTACGATAACCAGCGATCATTCTCCGGAGATCGCTGGTTTCCACTATATCATGAACTTCACTTCCGCTTATCCCAGGACTACATTTTCATACATGCACTTCTTCCAAACACGCACGCCTGGTCATTCATCTATCCTGATTACAATCACCAGCTGAACCTTGTCACAGACTGATATTTCACACAGTATTTAAGCAGCACACACTCATTCACAGGGCTGAGTCTTGTTCACTGTTAAGTAGCATTACAACGCGTTTTCCCAGTCTTGTTATCTTGTGTACCGACCGTTAGCCTTGTTAGCCTCTTTGTCTTTGCCTGCCGCCTGCCCTTTCTGACCTCTAGCCTGTATTCGACTGTGATTCTGGACTATCTCCATATACCTGTTTGCACCTGTGTTGACCATCGCTTGCCTGACTTTGAATAAACCTGCATGTGGATCTTACCTTCTGTTGTAGTGTCACTCCCCGGCGTTACAGATACATCAGCCAAATCGACCACAAACATTATTAAACTTTGCATAGCTTAATAAATTGAGATATAAATTAAATGATTAACTTATTAAATTAAGTTAAAGTAACAGTAAAGCATTGGATGTCATTATATAATGATGTACAGTGTGGAAACAACAAGGTTCCATTGCAGCTGTCGTGATAACCAACAATGCACAGAGGCAGATTTTTGACCTAACTGGCTTTTTAATTTTATTTTCTCACATTTATCACATACTTTTAACACTTCTAACCCTCTTTTCTTAAAAAGTGAACAGCTCTAATGCTTGTCAGTGTTGTGTAAATTGTTGACTAAGCATCAGTAGCTCCTACAACATCATCGTTGTCAGCACAAAGCTATAATACAGCAGTTTAAAACAGGCAGTTTGGTCATTTATGCTGCAAAGATTTGTAGCTTCATCTTTTGCTCTTATCTTTCAGCTGTATCGAGAGCAGCATGTGCTACGACAGCGATGAGACAAACGCCCGCAGCATCTCCAGCTTGTCCAACCGCTCGTCTCCTCTCTCCTGGCGCCAGGGCCAGTCCAGCCCTCGTCTGCAGGCTGGCGACGCCCCGTCCTCCGGGGTTCCTGCCCACTCACTGCCCATCCGAGCCTCTGCGCAGATCGGCCACCTGCAGCGCATTCAGCTCATCGAGAGCCTGGACACCACTGATGATGACCTGACACAACTTAAATCAGCATACCTCAGTGACGGCAACCTGACCGGCAAGAGCCAGGCTGAGGATGACGAAGATGAGGAGGATGATGATGTAGAAGTCGATGATGATGATGATGACCTCGCCAATGGGTGAGTGTTGCTGCTGCCTTTTTTGCTTGTTCGTCCTGCTATTATTATAATTGTGTGTATGCGTGTGTGTGTGTATACATACGTATTTGTTTAATTAAATTTTCTTTGGCTTATTCCCTGGCATATCAGTGGTTGAACAGTGGATTAAATTGCCCATACATACATACAGTATATTCATTTAAATTATTTTATTTAATGCACTTATGTTCACATATTTGGGACCACAGTGTGTTTTTAAGTCAGTGATTATTTGAGGTAGCATGAATGTTAATTCGATCAAAAGTGTCAACAAAGAAGTTTATGTTGAGTACAAAAATATGTATATTTTCCATGTTCTGTTCATCAACTAATCCTGGAAAAAGTGCATATATATATATATATATATATATATATATATTTATTTATTTATTTATTTATTTATTTATTTATTTTATTTTTTTTAAATATACAGAGCAGTTGTGCATTTATTTATTTATTTATTTATTTATTTATTCTTTAATTTTTATATATATATTTGTTAGTTAGTTAGTATAATAATTTGCTACATATCTAAATTTGATCTAAAACCCCTGGATTGGAAATTTAATGGTCAAACACCTGATGAAATTTAACTAGCATTTCAAATGCAGCATGAGCTTTCCTAAAAAGAAAGGTTATAATAGTTTTGGATTTTTCATTAGTTTTAGTTTTAGTTTTGTTTTGACTTTGTGTTTTTTTAAATTTAGTTAGTTTTAATTAGTTTTTAGAGGCAGACGTACTAGTTTTTATTAACATGTTTCCACCTCAGGTTAACTTATATAAATAAAAAAAACACAGTTGTTGCCTTTATCTCATAACTCTGACTTTTTTTTTTCCGCTTCATAATTTTGCCAAAATTGAGTTTGTATCTTGCAATTGCAATTGCAACAATAAAAAAACAATTACTGCTCTGCACAAAATATCTGTAAATTAACAGATTTCCGTATTTTGTGATTGATGTTTTTATTTTTACCTATTTATTTTTAGCTTTTGAATAGCATTACGGGCCCTTGATCTTTCTTCCAACAAATTTTAACCTTGAAAAATGTGGGGAAAAAAGGGACTTATGGACATTTTTAAGAATTTACAGCAATATATTGTCTTAGTTGGTGTTTTATATCATTGTAACACGAGGAGTGACAAAGACAACAGAGTTCGCATCCACATGCAGGTTTATTAAAGATGTCAGGCAAGCAATGGTCAACACGGGTGCCAACAGATCTATGAAGGCAATCCAGAAACGTTTTCAGAGTAACAGACGAGAGGTCGGAAGGCAGGCGGCAGACATGGACAAAAAGACAAACTAGGCGAGGGTCAAAACACGGAAAAACAAGACAGGATAAACGTGTTGCAATGCCACTTATAGTGAACAATAGTGCATCTATGAAGTTTTAGTCCAGAACCTAGAAGTGGCGGTTTTGTAGTGCGTAGGTGATTGCGCATGTATTCCAGCGATCCATGGAGGTTAGGTCGCTGGTGAACCTGACAATTATGCTACAATATCCCTGTAATAATCTTGCCAGTCTGTTATTTTACAGACTTCTGTATATATTGATGTACACCTAAATGTGTATTTTAACAGTAGCCCCTTTCACACAGTGATACCGGTAAATATCTGGAAAATTTCCGGAACGACTTTACCGGTATATTCAAAAAAGCGCTGTTCACACAGGCGAGGACGTTACGGAAATTTTCCGGAAAAGAGCATTCACACATCCATCGCAAAATGCCGGTAAATTCTGACATCATTAACCAGAAATGACCTCTAAACGGCTGCGCTTGTGTTTGTAAACATTTGACTACATCACAAACTCTTCGGATGGATCAGTATTGAGTACAACTCTAATGAAAACATAGGGAAACACTTTGATATGTTTGTGTGCTGGCGCTATGGGCGCTCACGGGCACAAGCAAAGCTTGAAGGTAAACAAACAACAGATTATCATAAACATTTTATTGATAATTATTTACACAGTTAGCATTAAGAAGGAACATAGAAACATTATCTGACTAACATCTAGCAGCTAAAGGTGTCTGGAAAAAATATTCAAAGGCTTTTATTCTCATAAACCGCGTGCACGTGAATGCGTCTGACTGTTGTGATTGGCTAAAGCAGACGTCTCACGTCAGCCCGTTCTAGACGTGGACGCGCTTATTACGGTAATCTTCCTTCTGCATTCACACAGCGCAGCATTCCGGCAAATTACCGGTAATGTTACAACTTCTCTTTCCGGAAAATAGCCAGAACGAATTTACCGGTATTTTCAAAAAAGGCCTGTTCACACATACAACCTTTCCGGAAAATTGCCGGTAATTTTCTGGAAAGGTCTGTATGTGTGAAAGGGGGCTAGTGTGTATTACAAATATTAATTATTATTTATCACATCTAGAAACATACCATGATATATGTTTGCCACATGAATGTCTTTTATGTGTATGAGCTTGTAATCTCCAGTGAGTCAAATAACCTAAATGATTCTTGCTCCTGATTCATTGTCAGCCTGAGGCCCCCTAAAGAGCAATCATGTCACCATCAGCTGAGGGTCTCATTTCGGAGCCATATGTGGCATCTTCAGTCCCCCCATCAGAGTGTCGGTGTCCCCCGAGGGGCCTGTTTTCAGTGTCACAACACCTGATGTTTCCGAATGCAGCTTTCCTTCTGCTCGCTGCAGCTGTGAATAAAGGACAGCTCATTGTTTCAATAGTGTTGAATGCATGCGCACGTGTGTGTGTGTGTATGTGAGAACACAAAACTAGGAAATGACTGAGGAAACGAGTTGTGTTTGCTTAAGCCGTCAGCTGAGCTTTTATCTTGCCCTCTCTTAACCCGCGCTGTTTAATTTAGTTTGATGGGCAACATTGCCAACATTGAGATGTGAGAAAGTTCAGCATCCAGCAGCTCAGGTCTGAAAGTATACTTCACCTTGAATTTGACTCCACTTCTCAACAATTTATATCTAACTTCTGCAGATGA